AACTTCATGGTGACCGTTATCGGCTTCCAGCCTCGGTGTTGCCATACCGAAGAGCCCTGATATCTCTCCTGACCTCACACAGTGGCACGTTCAGTTTATCACACTGGGTCAGACCCAAGGTATGTGCCACATGGAGACTGGGCATCCTCCCATTTCTACGTATCAGAGGTCAGGTAGTAATTCTTCGAATTGGCATGATGCTTCATTAATTGATTTTATCTGATCCCTGGGATCCAGGGAGGAAGTTAAACCACCCGCTTGGGATCATAATAGCTGCAAGCTGACTAGCTTACAGCTTCCCAGTTTCCTCCTCTCCCAACTGCACCTCCTGCTGCAGCTGTTTCTATTTATGTCTAGTAGCTGCTTTTCTTCTGTTGCAAAATGTCTGAAACAAGTGGAGGAAGAATCCAAACAGGGCTTTGGTGTTGCACAGGCCTGTGCAACCTCACTCTACTACTTGTGCGCTAGGAACTGGGAGGTTTGCTCAGTCTCCCTGAGGCTGCTTCTGTGTTGGTATAATGGGGACAGATGTGAAGCTGAAGTAACACTGGTTAGGTGCTTATTATGTGTTCTGGCATATGATGCTTATTAACAAGCATCATACATTGTGGCAAAGTTAATGTTGTCCCAGCTTCATCAAGTTGGGTATTCAACACCCTCTGTGGTGGTCTCTGGAGCACACGTGGCAGGTTGAGGACAGCAGCAGTTAACAGTCATCAAGAATGCCTGAGGGGCTGTGCTATATACCTTATTACATGGGTTATACATTTGAGTCCTATGATAATCACCTATGAGCAAGGTGCTAATCTCATTCCCATTTCAGAGATGAAGAAATCTCAGACTTTGGGACAGGCTAGGCAGCTAGTAAAGAGACCAGGTCTGGCTCCCAAAGTGAGAGTGCTGGGTTTAGGAAAGGCCTCTATGACTAGAGTGAGGCAGAGAGGCATTTCCTGTCTGGTGCGGATGGGTAGAGGTGGGCCTACGGGTGCTGAAGATGTGGGAAGGTTGAGACCCAGAGTGTAAATTTGCCTTAAGCGAGGGGACAGCTTTTTACAAGTGGAAACTAGAAACCCAGGCTCCAGGCTTCTATGTGGGTTCTCTGCCTTACACCCTTTCTTTCTGTGGAGGGAAAAAACCTGATCGAAGGGCTTGAAAGTACAGCTACAGAAATCTTTAGTACTTTTCAATGAAAATATTATCCGTGCCTCCAAGTGAGTTTTCATTTATTTCCATTCTACCATGTTTGCTTTTCATGAGATCATCCTTTTCCCCCTCTGCAGCCCAAGTTTGGCCAACTAATACTATTTGTTGTAATCTATTTTTGTTTGCTTAAGTCTTCAACAGTGACCTATGATATTTTCAGTTTCCAACTCTGAGGAAATGAAGATGTACTGGAATTTGGAACTCAACATGAGATAGAAAGCAGAAAATCACAAAGGCCCCTTTAAACAATACCTTTAAGTAGATTCACACTGCTGGGGGATTTAGTGTGTTAACCCATGATTTGCTGATGTGTGTATGCCACTGCTGAAGACTTATTTGAGAAAAAAATCCCCAAACCAGTAAAACTACTGCAAAAGGCCTCTAAGTATGTGCATATATTGGGTCGTTGGGGAAGTCATGACGTATTTTTTCTGTTTTCCAATGCAAAAATGCATCATGACTTTCCCTATGACCCAATATGTACCAATGATATTGAGAAAGGTTCTTTCCTGTTTGGTGGTAACTTTAGCAGACCAATGGGATGCTGCCTTGAGTGCTTCTGAGAGGATAACACATGAAACTCAGTTTCCCCCTGGACTTTGGGATATCGTTTTGCTTTCAGAAACCATTCGTGAGGGAAGGTAGGTCGATCACATGATCTAAAGTTCACGAAGTGAAAATGTACAAATGACAGGACCACTAAGTTTAGAAAATGTCCTACAATGTGCATTTTATTCCATATCATTATACAATGTTTACATATACAGTAGTCCCCCCCTTATCCACGGTTTCACTTTCCTCGGTTCCAGTTAACTGAGGTCAACTGTGGTTGGAAAATAATGAAATGGAAAAGTTCAGAAATAAGACAATTTCTAAGGTTTATATTGCATGCCATTCTGAGTAGTGTGATGAAATCTTGCACTGTCCCGCTCATCCCGCTAGGGACTGAATCATCCCTTTGTCCAGCGTCTCCAAGCTACCTGATACGCTACCTGCCCATCAGTCACTTAGTAAGTAGCCTGTGGTTATCATATCAACTGTCGCGGTACTGCAGTGCGTGTGTTCAAGTAACCCTTATTTTACTTAATAATGGCCCCAAAGTGCAAGAGTAGTGATGCTGACAATTTGGACATGCCAAAGAGAAGCCATAAAGAACTTCCTTTAAGTGACAAGGTGTGCATGTATAGGAAAAAACATAGTATGTAGAGGGTTCAGTACTATCCGCGGTTTCAGGCATCCACTGCGGGGGGTGTCTGGGAACATATATCCAGTGGATAAGGGGGGACTACTATAGTTATAACTCTTAAGAAAATGTTTCTTTTCTTTACCATTTGTACGAAGTGCCTAAATCTCTCAGTTTAACATGGAGAAATGAAAAAAGTGGAACTCAACATCGAATGCTATCCTATGAATTGTAATGAGCTGCAAGTGTACCAATTAGAAGGAAACAGACGTCTTAAAAAGAGCAGCGTGGCTTACAAACCCTTGGCTTTAGTGAATTCATGCATACAGAATTCATAGTCTCATCTCATAGGAAAACTCAAGACAAAATAAATTATTGTTGGACAGAATTCAAAATTGTCCAATATTGAATGAAAGACCACCGTGGGACTTTTTGTTTGAAGTAGCACCAATCCACACCTGATTGTTTCCAATAGTAATCTTCCTGTTGAATAGACAATTGGCACTTTGAGTCAAACTCTTTCTGCTTTAAGTGAGGATTCCTAGGCTGACTAAGCATACGGTGTTGCTAAACTCTTTACAAGGTGTGGCAATGTCAACTTGGGAAATGGCACATTTATATCATTCTTGCTCTGACACGGGCTTGCCTTTTCGTGTGTCCCCCTCCCCCCCCCCGATCTAGCTGGTATTTTGTGGATGTTTCTGTGACAGTGGTAAAAGTAAATAAAAATGCATTTAAGGGGTTTCATGGTAAGCATGGTGTTTAAAAATGAAACAAAACAAAACAACAAAAACATGAAAGAATGTGGTCGCAGCTAAGGAGGTTTTCACATGTTGTTTAACTCCAGTAAAGTCTGATCCAGCATCTGATGCATACTAAGGTTTTCTTCTTTGGCATGAGCCACTTTCTCTGTGGTGGGATTAGAAAATTAAGTCATGAATAGCTGCACTTTGGACACAATGGTGGTTTGTACATTTAGGCAGGCAAACATCAATCACAAACACAGAAGGGGACGATTAGGATCAGGCATGCTCGTAAGACATTACTCATTTCCAGACAAGGACCTACAAAGAGGGGAGCCGTCTTTGACCTGAAGGAACTACAGGCACAGCAGGTTCTCACAGAGTGGGCAGGTGAACCTTCACCAACAATCCACGCTGAGAATAAAACCCAGGTGGGCTCTGGTGAAGGTTCACTGGTCATGTGCTATGGGAACGGGGAGAGGTGCTTGCAGCACTGAAGTTAATAACAGCAGACATTTCTGAGGTACAGGCAGTTAAAGGTCTGGGAGTTGTGCTGTTAACACAATCTCACAGAAAACAAAGATGACGTAAATAGGTTTTCTGATAACTTTTGAAATGATTTATTTCTGTTGCTCATTAAAAAAAAATATCAACATGTTTCATGCACACTTCAGTAGGACATTCTCTTACTACTCTTAGTGTTCTATTTATTATCAGCATGACATTCTCACCAGATTCCAACAACACAGTTAGACTGAATAAAAGCATACCTTTTAGACAATCAGGGACTTCTGACATGAGCTCCTGTTTTCAAAAGCTATTTTGCCCAAGCATAGGTACATTTAATCATATTTCAAACACTATACCAGGTATTAAGAAGGTAGGAATATGAATATGTAATAGGGATACATATATACATATTATATATATTACATCCATATATAATATATATATATAGTTATACACATACACACCCCTCTGCTTTGGCTTTCTAACTTAAAGCAGGACTCAGTTCTCTGTAGGCAATAGAAAACATTTTTTGGGAGGGGTCTTCATTATGTATTAATTCAAACAAGAGGACCTACTGTTGCAAAGAGGAGTGAATTGTTTGTTGTATTTATTTATATACGTAATGTATACATTTTACCATAAAGCTTTTGGGATTAAAGAGAACTGAATTATTTCAGATATACGAGGAAATTGTAGGCAAGGCCAGCCAGCCTTTCAGCTCAATCATTTCATGTACATTTTGGCCAAAAGCAACTGATTTCAACCCTATAGTTGAAGGTATGACAGTCAGTCTTAGATTTTCTGCCCATGGGCTCCATTCCTAGAATTCAGCCCAAATTCTTTCCCACTTAAGTTTAATCCTCATTCAGGGCCAGCTTTAGTTGGTTAGTTAGGCGGCGGTTTTGCTCAAGTTGCTGGTAGAGTTGATCTGTACAGGTCAGCAAGCAGGTTAGCAGAAGAGAAAGAAGAGGCAGAAGAGAGGTTAGCTAGACTTGGAGAGATGGAGTTAACGGACAGAACACAGAGATACCTCAGACACTGGTCACGTGCTGAGCAGGATACCCTTACCCTATGGTCATCTGTCCTGTGCTCAGGTAGGTGCATGGTAAAGGCCTGGTAGACTTAGGAAGAGCTAGAATCTCTCTCTTGTGGGGAGGGGAGGGGAGGGGAGGGGAGGGGAGCAACAGGGTTTGAGCAGAGAGTGGATGTTTCTCTTGCACCTCACGACAACCACTGTGTGAAATGAGCCGAATGCAGTTTCTGGCAAGGGAGGAACCCAGGCAGGGCTGGAGGCGAGCCCAGCATATCATCTGCTCCTTGGTAGGGCTCAGTGGAGATCTTACTGTGAAGCTTCCATTTGATAATTTCTGCTCACCTCGTCCCAGAACCCTTTTCATCTCCATTCCCAGGGCCGGCTTTCCTTTCAGGTAGTATCAAGAGGGGGCTACCACTATTGCATTAACACTTTTTGAAATGCAGAACTAAGCTCCCTCTCCCTGTCTCCCAATAACCATGATACAGGGTGCAAATTCTCAACTCTTACAGCTTTGATACCCTACTCAAACAGCAAAAGAACACTTATTTCCACTCAAAACTGACACAGCTTATGAGGTGTGATCAAACAATACAGTATAACAGAAGCAATGTGTGACACGGAGCATTTCATGGTGGGTGATTGATGGCACACTTTAAATAAGACACACCTTCTCTCAACCGTAGCTCACACCCGACTGACTGCACTAAACAAATTGAAACTTGTCACACACTAAGGTTCGATATGCCGCTTCCCGTAATGAAGATCCCTGGCTTTCCATTGGATGGTATTTGGCAGCAGCATTTGCCTATTTTGTGATCACAAAGGAAAGGCTCCGTGTCACACATCACTTCTGGTACGGCAATTTCTGTCAAATAAAAACATTATGGTGTGTCCTCATCCACCTTATTCACTGGATCTGGCACAGTGTGACTTCTGGCTCTTCCCCAAAGTCAAAATGACCATGAAAGGTAAGCGCTTTGAATCGATTCCGGGCATCAAGGCAGCAATGCCAGTGCCACTAAAGACACTCATTAAAGAGGGCTTCCAGAACTGCTTCAGAAAGTGGCAAGAATGAGGGATAAATGTGTTTGAAGCGAGGGGGAGTATTTTGAGGGGTGATCAATGGCAATGTGTCTTTTACTGTAATAAAAAATTTTTAATTTAAACATTCACCGTGTTTTTTTATCACACCGTGTATTTCTTGAAAATGGCATTCATGTTTGGTGCTAGATGGATGCGTATAAAATTAACAAAATCTTGAACATCTACACAGAGACCAGTGTGATGTAAATTTTACACATTGGCAAATAATCTGCTCACATGGCAAGGAAACCAACCACAAGAGCCAGTCTTATCTGAATGTCCAGGGGGCACCCATACAATGACAAGAGCCTGGCACCTACCAGGAAAAGTTGGAGGACACATGATTGTTTTGAATGATGACGACAACCTGGACCCAGAAAGTCTACTTAATGATCTTGAAAAGCTGACAGTCTTACCCCTGGGAAAAATGAAAATGTGCAGTCTCTAGCCCCAAGGTCTACTGGGAAATTGATCAATTCTTATTTTATCATTCTCTTATAAATGGTAGGAGCTGCGGGGGATGCTATATTCATTACACCTTCCAGCTTGGAATACCTTCTGCCTTTACCTTTTTGCTTATCCAAATTTTCTGAATATTCAAAACCCTGGTCAAATGTCACCTCCTGCAGGTAGCTCCCAGTCAGAATTATTCTCTTCCTCTATGACTCTAAATGCACACCATCTATTGGTTCAGACTCACTTCACTCATCTATCTTCCCACAAGATGGCCAGCTCATCCAGGGCACAGAACATTTCTGGTTCATCTCTTTACCACATCCCCACTACCATCCACAGTGCCTTGCATATGACATATGCTTGCAAAACCTAAATCGCATCAGTACATTCATACTATCACATTGGGGAACTATTGCCACAGGCAGGCAGTATGTCTGTTTGCTGAGCCAATGTCCGGCCAAGCTGGAAGAACTTTGGCGAAACTCTAGAGAATCCACAGGATCAATGTGAATTCAGCTTAAATGACAGCTGTTCCTATCACATTCTCCTTTGGACCTGCTCCACTTCAGCCGACATGGAGCTGGTATGCCTGGGAGGTCCGAGGGCAGGGACCAGAACCGGTTATACATTTGGAAGTATTTTCCCCTCCTGTTCTATCACCCAGATGTCTGAGGCCTTTAGTGCCTAGACTGAGCAATGCTTCTGGTTTGGTCCAACTAAGGCTCCTGAAGCAGCTGTAGCTGTGGCCTGGCACGCTAAACTCGAAGCCTGGGCTCTGACAATTTCTTGGTAAAATCAATTTGCTACCGTGTTTCCCTGAAAATAAGACCTAACTGGAAAATACGCCCTAGCATGATATTTTTAGGATGCTTTTAATAATGTAAGCCCTACTCCAAACATAAGCCCCAGTTAAGATCGTCAGCCAGACATGGCTGTTTGAATAAATGTAGATTTTTGTACATGAATAAATGTAGATTGTTGGAGCAAAAATTAATATAAGACCTGGTCTTATTTTCAGGGAAACATGGTATGTATCCTCGTGTATACCTATACCTTCTTGGGCTATTCCAGATTTGCCTACCCAATCCATCAATTGCCCATTTCCCCTTGTAGAACATACTTATAGAAAGTGTGAACATCTCTGGGAAGGTTTCAAAACAACAGATGTGCCTCCAGAATTAACTATATATATGCTCAGCAGAACTTTGAAACTGGTCATTTTGTCTATTGCAGATAGCAGAGTTACTCAGAGAAGGGCCCACTTCTATTAGTCTGAATTTAAAAAAGAACAAGGCAAGAACTGACGCAAGGAGCCTTAAGAAAAGAAGAACATGAAATTACAGAAGTCTTTATCATGCTCTCAAGGGAGAGACATTATCCAGAACGTAAATTTTAAAAAGTCTACCATACCACCACCAAAATACTTTAATTTACAACCCTCTTAGTATTAGCTACTCTGAAGTCTTTGTGGAGTGACTGACTTTATTTTCAGCTTGTCCAAATCTATCTGAGTATACACTGAGTATAAATAGTGGTATATTAAACCTCTTAGGCTAACAAAAACTGCACACAAATGAAACCATCCAAATTTAAAACACAGGAGAAATATAGCCTGATTGTTAAGGATGGAGAAATATTGGAAATTAGGAAACAAAAGTCCACATCATTTTAAAGTTCTAATTTTGCAATGTGTTTCTTAAAAAAAAATAATTTAATTGCTGTTTTTGAAATAGTAAAGCCCAAATAAAATATAACTGTATTCTAAACAATTTCCAATAACTACATTTGGGGGGGGGGGAGAATCAACGTTAATGGCTATACTTTAAGTGTCCACAATTTTTTAAAAAAATAGATATTATTTAAAAAATTATGCATGCACAATCTCTCCTAAAGAATACTTGATGTGTTTAGGAGCACAAAAATAAATCTCAACTTGAACATAATCATATTTAGAAAACCTAAGATGTCATTTCATGATCAAAATGACGGTGGTTAAGTAATGAATACACTTTCAAAAAGCTGTAATTTTTCGGGCTGGCTGAGCAGCGCGTTGGTTAAGAGCTGGCTTGGGATGCCAGAGGGCCCCGGTTCGGATCCCACATATGAGGGCCAGTGACACTGCCCTCTACAGCTAAGATGGTGAACAACAGCTCGACCTGGAGCTGGGCTGCCGTGAGTCGCCGGCGACGGCGTAGGCTGTAGCCCCTGCTGCAGTGGGTTGCCATAAGCTACCGTGTGTGGCCGGCAGCCGGTGTGAGCTGCCAAGAGCCCCTGTGAGTGGCCATCCAGAGGCCGGCGACTGATCTGCCTCACCCGGGAAGAGCGCAACGATAATACCAACATGGGCAACGTCCTTCTCAACTGGACTGAAGAACAACAGGACAGCAACTTGTCTGTTTCCCTTCCCCCGATTCCCCAGCGCTGTTCCCCTCCCTCAATTCCCCAATAAAATCTTTTTAAAAAGTTGTAATTTTTCTTTACACTGTAAAAGCAGGATCAACAATAACCTCAGCTTCACATAGTTTGAATCCAAGTTCTTTTTCACCTTTCCCAATATGTAAACTTCCTAGCAGTGTGGGATGGCGACGGGGCCTTCATTGGAGCATTTCAATGGTTAGCCACATCCTCCAAAGCAGGGCCATCTAAATATTAACACACAGGGCTCACCACTTCCCAAACTAAACCTCTGGCAGAGGTAGAATGCTCAAGGTGGGTTTTCCGACTCCAACAAGCAGTGGTTCTCAATCCATACTACCATCACAATCCTCCCCCAAAAAAACGAAAAAAAAAAAAAAAGAAAAAAAAACCCACAGCAACCCCACAAATGCCCAGGGCCTGACTCTAACCTTTGGAAACTAAAACTCTGAGAGGGACCCAGGGACGAATGTTTTTTTTTTAAAGTCCCACAAAAAACTACTGCCTTAGAAACTCGTGATATTAATGTATAATGTTCAGAATGAAAAAAAAAAAAAGCAGCCAAAAATTAACCCTCACATGCGTGAAGCAGATTTGTAATTTTATTCAGTGTTGAAACTAAAATGTCAATAAATAAGTAAAAAGAATAGCAAACAGAAATAGCTTACACAGTGTTTATTTTACACTGAATGAAGAGCTCCTGTACAATAAAAAGCACAGTGTGCGTGTGGCCCTGAAGCGGGACGCTAAAAGCAAGAACCAGAGTCAGCTGGGGAAGAGACAAACTGCAGAGCTCAGAGAGGTGGAACGTCCAGCTTGATGAAGGGGTCTTGGGAGAAGTGAAGCAAAGAAACTTATCTGTATGAAGAGAAAAGGTGGGAGAAAAAGAAAAAACAAAGTGGCACAACGGAAAAGAGGAAAATCAGACTAACAGATGAGAACAGCATTTGAAACACAGGCAAGAAGCAGACATGCAAAACCCGCAGGCAGCCACGCCTGAGGGAGAGGGTCAGTCCTCGTCCCCCAGCGTCTGGACCCTGGACCCGAGGCATCACAGGCCCCCTCTGGGTAAGGGTCCATTTTAAGAAGACCCAGGAACAGAATTTAGAAGCAAATTTTGAGCTAAACCCACCTTTCAGAATATTTAATCATACTTGATGTTATAAGTGTTTCCCATAGAATCACCATGTTTATGGTCTTATGGAAAAAAAACCTTGCAGACAGATGATCTGACCCACCCCCCTCGTTTACAAATGAGGGAAGAGAAGATGGAATGCTTTCTAGTTTCCATGGTGACCATCATGTCTCCATGTCTCCATGTGTGGAGATTCTCTAAGCTGTAAGGCAGCAGGCACATGCCACACTCTTCAAGCTACCATGTTTCTGCATGGGTAACGGAAGGACAGGTGGGCCTGGAAAATGAAATTTCCAGCTTATCTGGAATTCAGTGCTAGATTATTAGAATAACAGACCCCCCTGTCAAACATTCCAGGTTAGAATTTAAAGAGGCAGAATAAGTTTAATGTTTAGGTTTGGTTAGTAGTATGTAAATTAGTTGTGTATGCTCAAGGTTCTCATAGGAAGAAGACTATTTACTTCAACTCTTACTGCCTCACAGTAGGAAGAGCTGGGCCACTAACTCCCAAATTCATATTGGACAATGTGTTTTATGACCCATTTCCTTGTCACAGGTTGTGGTGTTTACTGGGGGTATTTTAATTTCTTTTATATAAACATAGAAAATTAAAGCCTTGGTTACTCAGCAGAGGATTTACTTCTATATAGAATTCTTCATTAGAGAATTCTAGGAAGAGGTGACCTTTTACAGCACCATTCTTTAGGCTGTACTGCATCAATTTCCTATCCCTCAGACCCTCAGTCACCTGACACTTTAGGGTTCTTAAATTTATATTTCTTTTTTGAAAATGATCACGTTTTATCTCATTGAGTCTCAGGAAAACAATTTTTGATAGTTCTTTGGGAAGTTCCTGCATAATTGCACGGCCTACTCATTTTACTTGAGTCTAGTTTAGTTTCCTAAAAGGACGGCGCTCAAGTCAGCCACATTCCAGGTCACTGCTGGGTGGGAACCACCTAGCTTAGAAATTGGGCAATAAATGGATTCTGAGAGGCAAACGATTTATACATACAGATTTTATCTACTTGGCCTTGGTATTAGTAGAATGTGGGAAAAAACAATGGCTATCCAAGATTATGCAGAGAGTAAGCAGCAAGGTGTAAAGACAGAGATTCTGGAAGCACAGAAGGGAGTGGTGGTGAGTTTATCATATTAGCATGAGGGCACGGATGTGAGCAGGCAGGGTGGATGAACATTTACATGGAAGTCATATCGTTGAGAGCGTGGTCCAGCTCCTCGCTGATGGCTTTGTACTTCAGTTTCTGAGCATACAGCTCGTCTATGACCAGGAAGTGGAAGGCAGAGGTGCAAGGACATGGAGAGTGATCAAGAGATGAAGGGTGAGTGAGGGTGGCATGGGCGCCATCCCGACACAGCAGCAAGAAAAGGGCAATGCATGAAGGAATTGGTGCCGCAGCAGGTGGCCAATGCAGGAGGCGTGCGTTTTGTTTTTAAATGAATCGGAACAAAAACAAAAAGAACAAAACCCATTAGAAAATAAAACAAGAAAGATGCAATATGAAAATCATAACAAATATGGTAGGTAAATCAGTAAACCATGTTAAGCCCGAAACAAAACCACAGAAGGCTGTCTCCTGGCTAATAATAGAATGTCTTTCTTTTCTAGAGCTATATTTTAATTACACTGGAGTAGTCAGCCACCTGCAACTATAAACAGTGGAAAAAACATCCAAGGGCAGTGTTTTGGAAGAACAGTTTGTGACTATAGTCTACAATCCTTCTCTGGCTCCACCTTCAAACCACCGACTTCCGGACCGAACGGGACCACTGGGATATGCATTTCTTAGTGCGATGTAAACTACTCCTTGTGGTCTTCCCGCTCAAGCTGCCCTGTTGTGGTCCAGGAGGCCTGACAAGCGAGGACAGCCACAGTTTTTATGGTGGTGTTGTGCCAAGTCTGAAAGGTAGTTTTTGTACTGATGGCTCCGTACTTTGCTGTACTTTTATTCTCTCTGCTCCACTAGCTTGGGTGTCATCTGCACTAATCTCTAGTCCCTTCTCTAGCTCCTTCCGCCTGGGATGTATATATTTCATGTACTTTTTCTTTTTCACGGCTGACCTTTCACAAGCCTCCAAGCTCAACATTTAGGATTTCTGTGAAACAGAGGGGGTGTTATTACAATAAAACCTAAATATCTTATGGGAGAAATGCTTAAGTATAACCTCAAAATATAATGAATGCCCTGTTATCTCCTACTCCCCTTTCAGAATATAGAGCATTTGCCAAGATAACTAATGACACAAAACCCCAAACCCTTATACTGAATTCATACTTAGAAGAAGATGGGCTGTGTCTAAGAACAAATCCATACCTTTCTGACAATTAGGAGGTATCACTAACAATAGAAAATATACGAGTCATTCTCACCTATAACCACCTTACCCGCAGTGAAAAAGAGCCCTGCCACACTTCTGAGGAGGGTGAGGTAAAACTGGACGGCAGCTGCCATTACAAAAAGAGATGTGCCCCCACCTCGTGGCTAACAGTCATCTAGTGAGCAGAGGACTCAGGTCCAAGAGTTTAAGAGCCGCAGAATGAAAACCCCGAGGACAGACAGGAGGAAAGTGCAAGAGCCAAGGAGTGTATCAAGGTGGATGCACTTGGATTAGAAAACCGTTTGGCCAGGTCAATATTCAACCATAAGGATTAAATTAAAAGCAAAACTGAAGATCTTACCTTCTAAGTCATCAATGCTTTTCTCCAATTTAGTTACTGACCTCTCCGCAAACTCAGCCCGAGTCTCAGCCTGCAATGATTCAATTTATTTCAATCAACATTGGGACGTTTGAGATGTCCAGTAGCTACAAATATAGGGAAAATTAGAGAATGGGACTCAAGCACAGGATCCATAAAATAGGTCCGAAACTACTCATCAGCCAGTCGCCACAGTTAGTGGTGGCAGCTAGCGCAGCACATTAACTCCGAGACCACCTTTGAATATGCCTGACATGGAGCACAACTTTAAAATGAAAAAACCCTGACCTGCTCCATAAAAACACTCTCATTTAAAATCCTGTTGGCTTCGCCCAAAACACTCATAATATTACCTCCTTCAGCTTGTCAGAAAGGACCTTGATCTCTTCCTCATATTTGTCTTCCTTCTGAGAGTACTGTAATTAGAAAGAACGTTCCAGATGTCAGGCCACAGCTCACTCTATACTCAAGGCTTCTAATACAAAGAAAGCTCCAGCCCAGCCACCAGATGTTGAGGCTCTCAGGAGGTAACGGAGCCTCCGAGATCAAATGGCATACTACAATACAGTCTCTGTTTTCCTGCCTATTGTTTTACATGGGGTAAGAACAAGATAACATCTATTTGGCACTTGGCTTAAATTAAATTGTTACAGATGACTCACATACTTAAAATATATTCTCTATTAAAAAAAAAAAGAATCTGTTATCCAATAACCATCAGGAAATCACCTCAAGACGATGCCATTTATTAAAATGCCTAGTGCACGATTGCTTTCCTTGGGAGCGCCTCAGAAGAGAAAAAGTGGGTGTCCTCTGAGTAGCCCTTAGAAGATGCCTTTTCCCCCACACCATGCTCCTGGCCTACCTTCTCAGCCTGAGCCTCCAGTGACTTCAAGTTGTTCGTCACAGTTTTCAACTCTTCTTCAAGCTCGGCACATTTGCTAATGTTTTCGATCAGAGGCAGAAAGGGTGGGAGACAAGCCAGAGGAAGGAGGAGAGACAAAGGAGAAGGATGGGAAAAAATGAAAACCGAGTCCTAGAGAACAAAGGGCTGCCGTAAAGTAGCCAAATCATCGGGTATTAAAACGCTCAATTCCACCAAAAGGACACTGTCCCCCAACCTTGCAACAGCAGAAAGGCTGGGTGACAAAATCCAACAACTTTGAAGTGTGATTATTTGGCTTCTTTTTTGGCTGCACCGAGGAGCATTTATGAAGGAAAACAAAGGAGTATAAAGAACCCAAGAAAGCACTTAAAGCAAGATATAAGATAGCAGAGGGTGTAGTGAAGGTGCAGTCGTTATACCGAACGAACCAGTAGGTATTGGAAGCTGAAAGACGTCTGGGTTGCAGTTAAACCTAAAAACCACACATGAGCCATCAGTACCTTATCCTCTGCAGCCATTAATGCTTTCAAGGTCTGATCCATTATTCTTAATTGTTCTTCCAGCTGTCGAACTTGGCTGTTAGTGGACACAGGAAATGCACAAGGCCATTCTCAAAATCAGTGTGCAGGTAAGGCATGCAGTGATACACGCATTCATACAGACACCCCACACAAGTCCTCCGTGTTCCAGACTCGTGGCTCATCCACGGCAAATGAGCACATAAGGAGCCCGGGGCCGAAAACAGGTAAATGTGCAGCTGCCAGAAGGTCATGCTGTTTAGTCACCGCGCTGCAGCACCCCACACACGGCCTCCTGGCGCCAGGCCCGCTTACCCTTCTGAGAGCTCGGCCCGCTCCTCTGCACGCTCCAGGTCACTCTCAATGATGACCAGTTTACGGGCAACCTGCAGCAGGGCAAACACAATACACACATTCCATGGGGCTTGCAAGCTTTGAGTTAGGGGGTGTGGGGATGGGACCTTTATCCATCAGCTCCTAAAGGATACTGTCTACAAATAAGATGATCCTCTTTCCTGGACCAGAGAGAAGCAAGTCTCCATCAGGAGTGACAATGGAGAGGAAGCCAGCGGTTTCTGCTCACAGAGACCCAGAATGGTTAGCTATGAGTGGGCAGACTCATTTCAAGGCTGACCCAGGTGCAGTCTGTATAATTACATAGCAGCCAGACCAAAGGGTGGAAGGAGGGAGAAATATGAAAGTCACAGTCTCAAAAATAGCAGTATGATGAGACATGATGCGCTTTATGCTGAAAAGGTAGGGGCTGCCAAGAAAACACTGAAAATAATTCTGAGAGCTCCACCAATTTAGAGCTCTGTACCTCAATCTCCATTTTGTGGAGGAGGCTGAAAATGCCAACAGAATAGCAAGAGACGCTAAGGTGACATGAGCTGGTGAGATGACTCATGAAGGCAAGTCTGTGTTCAGTGGAAGAGCGCGCCTGAGAGAAGAAGGGGTCCTCTGAAGCATTTCAAAATTAGTGGGCATAGTGCAATATGGAAATAGTAATGATAATTAATAATAATAATAAAAGGAGTGTTATTGCCATTTCAAGATAGCCATGGTACAAGGACAAAATCAAAACCTTAACAGTCATATTGGCTCTGTTATCACAGGAGGTGGTTTTCATGGTTCATGACCGGAGGCTGATTCACCCATGAACCTGTGTTGATAATGGGATTCTACCACCTTGAGGAAAGAGATTGAAAATGTCTTTTATGAATCGACTGAGCAACTGCATGGTCCATATCTCTGCACTACCTGAACTGGACCGTGCTAGTGAGTCACGCTCAGAACTGTTTGCATGGTGACAGCATAGGGCTCCTTCCACAGACACAGAGGCCCAATTCTCCCTTCTCCCGGCCAAAGCTCTTTTGTCCTAGTTTTTGGGTGGGTGCGGGGTGGGGCACAGGTGGGGGAAGCTTTGGTCTTTCTCAGCGCTAGCGACTGGCTTCACGATGAAGCCTGGGATCCCCTAGCAGGATCAAATAAGACCCATTTTCTGGAGACGAAGAACTCCGCTTTGCAGAACCACTCCTATCTGCCAAGGCGGCAGACTGGTGCACGGAAGGACGCAAGGCTGTACCCAGGCTCCCCCAACCCCGGGCCGCTGCTGGGTCCTTGAGGCTCTGGGCCCCAGAACCTACCTCTTCATACTTGCGGTCGGCATCCTCAGCAATGTGCTTGGCCTCCTTCAGTTGGATCTCCTGAATTTCCATTTTCTCCTCATCCTTTTGGGCTCGGCTCTCAATGACTTTCATACCTCTGAAAAGGACAAGCACCAAGACCCAAGATTTAGAGATGACCTCCACAAACCCACAAAAATGGGATTCACTGGCAGACCAAAACAGAGCACAGAGCTTTTCTTTTCCAAGCCATGAAGAGTTTTCACAACTGAAGGCAGGAAGATACATACACACTTCTGTTTACTGGGAACAAAACCTCACACATCGGGTACTGGTGAAACTGTCCAGGAATCTAATGCGAAATGAAAGCTACCATGTCAGGATCCTGTTTGACACTGGGAGGCAGAAAAACAGGAGAGGCCAGCATGCTTTCCTTGCTATAGAAATCATGGGATTTCTTCTCTTTCCTGGTGGGAAGTTTCTACTTGAAAACAGACCAAAGTTAGAACAAAAGCAAATTTATCTTCATGTACTTCCTTCTACAAGGAAGGTAACTGTTTTTACCTCATCTGCCACAATGTAAATACCAGATTGAATCATATAAAATTGCTGTTATTTGACCATGTCAGACCTGAAAAGTAGCAGTTTCACAGGGGTCAATCTAATACTTTAGATAAGAAACTATGAATTTTGCCTTTAATGGAACTCTAGAGGTGGTGAGAGACTGGACTGACACCAGCTCCTATGTTGATAGGTGTGTTTGGATCCTATGTCATGATGTTAAGTTTTGGAAGCTGTTAACTGATCTGTATTGCAGATTTATGGAATAACAAGTTATGCTAAAATGGGATTCACTGGCCAAAATCTAAGTAGGCAGTAAGATAAATAAGCCACTACTTTTTGATGAAGCACTACAATGTATTTGAGGAGACTTGAGTTCCAGTCTCGGCTCAGCCGTAAGTTGGCTATGAGACTGGGCAGGCCACATGGGTCTCTTAAGCCCTAGTTTTCTCATTTGTAAAACCAGGGGAGGACTGGAGTCAATCATCTCCCAATTTCTTTTTACTCCAAAGTCTTAACATTGCCAGATTGCTTTTTAGGTTCACTAACAAGTGCATTTCAGGAAGAAATCAGCCACAAAACCACTGGTATGTGTGTACACTGCTAGAGATGATGAGTCACCTCCAAGAATTCAAAACTCTTGGTTAGAGAAGAAACAATAAGCAGCAGTGAATAATGAGCTGAAAACTTGAGCTAAAATGCTTTTTTACTCCTAAATTCTGAAATCACTCTTTATCTATGGTGACAGGTAGCCGAAAGTCACTTGAAAGGTGGAGAAATGAACAGAACGAATGACTGCATTCACCTGTCCAGCTCACAGCACAGATCTACACCTCCAGGGTTCGGAGCCACCACACTGCTCTGTCATCCTTCAAGCAGCACAACTCTCTCTATTCTCACAGAGTCTTTCTAGGGGTGTTTCGATGCCAGATGAATACATTAACTTCAATAACGGAGCATAAGGGAAATGCCTTGTAGAATACACGAAGTCGTGCTGGTCTAATGGCCTTGGGTTCTCCTTCACTACCCATAAAGCCGAGTCTTGGAGCAGTAAGTCAGGCAGAGGCAGGTTAAGAGGGAGCGGACTCAGGAGACATGAGTATCTGACTGTATTTATGTGTGTGTGTGCCTTATCAGCATTACTAAGTCCAAAGCAATTTACTTTTGCAGATCATATTTCTGTTTTATCTGTGCTTTCTCTTTCACCTGTGTGTTGGGCTATTTGACAACTGATAGTCCACAGTTCATTTAACTAAGTCTAAGCCGCCTTGGTTATGTTTTAAAAACAAAGTTATCTTTTAAAAAATGCATAATTGCTGGGGGGGGGTGGGAAGGGTCAGCAGGAATGAAAGAACCATCCTGCATCCCTAGCACTTCTTGTTTACATATCCACCTCCCTTGCTGGATGGTGAGCTCTGTGAAGGCAGGAAGAGGATCCTTTCCTTCTTTGTAACCTTGGGGTTTAAAGCCTCTATGTACTTCGCCTAAAAGCACCTATGTTAAACGAACAAAACCAATGAAGTGGTACCTGGGATCAAATGAGGAAACCATCTCAAGGGACTTCAAAATTCTTACACCCCAAAGACCAGAGACGCCCTCCCGCTCCACCAGGAGGAAAGGCGGATGCTAAAAGCGGGGCTGGGTGAGGTGCCCTCACCTCTCACTCTCATCTGCTGCCTTCTCAGCCTCCTCTAGTTTCTGCAAAGCTGTTGCCAGACGCTCTTGGGCTCGATCCAACTCTTCCTCAACCAGCTGGATGCGTCTGTTCAGAGAAGCTACATCAGCTTCAGCCTGGGCAGAGAGAGCGAAAGGCATTTCAGCGTTGGGGAGAAAGTGTGAGAGGAGCGCCTTCAGGAAGCGGCTGAGAATAAAACACTGATTTCAGACAGGAAGCCTGGCCTCGTGGCGAGCTCGCTACTTTTAAGTCCATTACAAGCCCTGGCCAGCTTTGGAGTTCTCAGATACGTTCATACATGGATTTATACAGGGAGTGTCCACATTTGTATATATACAAATCCATACGCACCCTTCTCATTGGAAAGATGGACCACTAGCAAACGTTCTCTCACTTGGTTCCTTTCGTCCATAGATTCCAACACACTGGCTTTACCTGACTACGAAAGGAGAGCTTCATTATAGCCACCTCACTCAATGGGGGCCCGAGATGGGTGTGGACAGATGACATGGCTTACTGAGGCTCAGTCACATAAGGCAAGAGCAGTCCAGCCAGAAATCAGACGCGGGAGCCTCAATTCTCCTTTCTCTACACCATTTTCTCAAAGGGGCCTTTTAAAGGAACTATTTCAAAATTTAGTGGTTCTAAAATACACACCATACAGACACAACTAAATCGAGCACCTTCCCTCCCCACCCCCTTTCAGTACCCCCTCTAGAGTAAATGGTCACCCTGGAACAGGGCCAAGACAAATTTCCCAAGTGTTTCCTACATAAGCCTACTGGAATTTAATTTCTTACCCGTCAAGGTTGGTACAAGAAAACTTTCAAACTCCTTAGGAGAAAAGCAGTACAGACACTGTTTTTATTTGTATCTGTCTCTGAAATAAGATGTTTCTTTCCTGGGGATGCAGTGATTACCTACTGTTATAAGCATTTGTTACTATGAGCCTCAGAACCCTTCCGAGACTGTGATGGTCCATTACATACACTTGCATTGGTGGCTGTTTAAATATTATTCATGGAAGTCAGAGATGGGATTTACTAATCAGGTACCATTTCTTCATCCTCATCCATTTTGAATATCTGAAGGTTTGCTTATCATGGAGTGATGGGGTTTTCTAAAACTTACAATACATACTTAGGGACCTATGCTAGTTCTCTATCTACATTCCTACCTTTACTCAATGTAAGTTTCTTACGTGCAAGGACTCATGGCACAGAGTGGAAAGCTCAGTAAATATCTACTGACTAAAACGAGTAAAACCAACCCAATTTAAACAAATGCAACTTCCTTAGTTTCGCTCATGGACCCATGATATACACAGTTTGAAATGCACATGTAGTTAGAGAGAGACTGTGATTACAGCCCCAAATCAAAGGAATACTCAAGAACATTCAGCTCTTTGCTCATCTAGACTTGTAAGATTCTAAGTCCCAAATTTTGTTTGGGAAACAGAGGTGACTGGGGTATTTCCAACCATGGTGAAGGATGCTTTATAAAAACATTCAAATACACTTTTATTTCATCAAAATTTAGCTATGTAGTAATAATTGGTTGACAGAGGCAGGGAGCAGGGGGACATGGGAAGCGACTCTGAGGATGGTTTACAACAGTACTGGCCCAGAAGTAAATCATTATTGGTGCACAGCTAGTAATGTAATGGGCCCTGCCAAGTCTGAGCGGCAGGTGACTTGGTTTTTCTGGAGGAAGGGTAAGGGAAATAGGGATAACATATTTCTTAAGTAGAGGGAACTATCTCTTTAAAGTCTAGCCCTATTTTTAAAAAACTGGAAGGAGTATACATTAAGGGAATTTTTTTGGGGTCAGGTTGGCTTTGTTCACTTTTCTGTATTTACCATTCCAGTAAAATTCCATTCTTTTTATGAATGGGAGGAAATAAGCAAGCAACTCTGAAAGTTAAAACCAAAAATGAAGAAAGGCAAAACTAAAAAACCTCAACAGAGTGTCTAGATTATGTACTCAAAGGTAACCCCCCCCTCCCGCCGCCTTTCTTTCCTTATAATTATTTTTAATATAAAGGCAAGTATCCTTGTTACAGGTGGTGTGGCCACGGAAATGTCAATGAGATTTTCAAAGACACTTTTTGTAGCGACCACATTTTAAGTTCCCTGCTCTGCTTTCGATCTGGGCCCCAGCCTTCAGAACTTTGTACTCACAGAGACTGTTTACGATCCCGGGAAAGAAACTTCCGGGTGGCAGGCTAGTCCAGGTCCCCAGCTTCCCACACAGTGGAGATATGAGAGAGTAAGGAGGCAGCAGCCATGTTCATTTCCACCTCTGCACACAAGATCTCCCTACCTGAGAGGTCCCTTCATCAACCTGTGCTTTCCCTCTTGTGCCCCTCCCCCCACACATTCTTTCTGTTTTATAAATGGCACTAACTCTTTTGTCCCCCAGGAATATTTTGTAGGCCCTTGCACTCCTTGACATTATGGGTTGTTTTCCACGGAACACTCATACAGGGCACCCAAGCCATGACTGGAATGGAGATCTGTCCTAGGAGCCTGGGCTGGTGCACACAGAGAGCAGACCTACGGGTGGTCTGCAAAGGGGGGTTTCAGTTATCTAGCTGGAAGCGCTAGCTAAACCTCTCGCTAGGCATCATTCAGTAGTTCCCAAAACTGGCTGAGTGTCAGAATCCAGGAGGAGATGTGTATTAAAAACACAAACTTCCAGCCTTCAACCCTAGAGACTCTGATTCAGGAGGTTAGAGGGGAGGGCAGGAATCTGCACTATAAATAAGCAACCTGTTCCACTCCTCCACCCTCCACACCCCATCACCCAAAGAAGCTGGGAATCACGCTCCTAGCTCTTCGTTCAAAAGAAAATAGGAGGATGGTAGGACCTTTGACCCAGAATGCTGAAGTATGCTCAGGTCACCAGCAATCAGAGGGAGACAAGACTAAAACCCAAGTCTTCAGGCTCCTTGTGAGCTGACTGTCACTTCTCACTGCCTCCTGTAGCCTCACAGAAGCCCTGGGGTTAGTGATTCTCACTCTTGGAGTCTTCTCTCTTCATATGTCAGAGGGAGAAGTTCTCTATAGCCACTCCAACCCCAACTCTCCAACCCACACAACGGCCCCTGGCGACAGAGCCTAAACAGGACTAGGAGAACAGTTACTGTATTAAATGTCATCCCCTGAACAAGTCCTCTCAATCCTTTTGGAAATAAGCTGTGGTATAAGATTGAAAACTTCATTAAGTAACAGTAACGGGTAACAGCTCACATAAGAACACAGAGCACTTGCTCTCAGTCCCAGAAGCCAATGCCTGCTGTCCCAGAGGTTTCAGAGCAGGGCAAAGGGGTGTGCAGATTACAGCCCAGGCTTGAGAGCAGTCTGGGGGTACATCTACCTCTATGGAAGCTTCCCCTGGGAAAAATCTGGACTCTTGCTGGCTTCTCAGGCCCTACCATACTGGTCTGATTGCAATTTTGTTTGGTACCCTAGAATTCAAGGTATGTTGAATTCCAGAAATTAATGAAGGGCGCTTCTTTCTTTCTCTAATTTTTTATTTTTTTATGGTCTGTGTTCAAAAGGCCCACATATCTTTAAGTTCACTAACTTTTATTTCTGGCATGTGTTTTCCAAGTTCTGAGGCTTATTTAGACATTTTCTAAGGTTCCTTTCATCACAGCACCTGGGCTGTCCACTTAGGACTTAACTTGCTGTTGCCTCTGCCAGTACAAGCCCATAGCCCCACGACCATCTGTTATTTAAAAAGCAGATATAAATAACAAGACGTTTAGGAAGGGTCAAGACCCCAGAGGCCAATTATTTCCAGGCATGGAAATCACCCTTAGTGTGCCGGGTTAGTGTCTTCAAACAACAGGGGCAGTGAAGACCTTCAGTTTGGGATGCTGGTTTCCTTTCTTTCAAAAGTGCCATTATGTTCCAACAAGTCATGAGCTACTCAGAAAACAGACTGCTATATTAGTGCAGGGTACCAACTGTCTTCCTGCCAGATGTGTTGTTGGACCACTACCAGGCACCTTAGAGCTGCAGCAGGCAGCCCTGTCTCCTCCCCTGCAAAGGTCCTACCTACCCAGAAAACAAGGGCGGGCACACCCCTTCCCTCTTCTGGACACCCCAGCAAGGCACTACACAGAAATCAGGGCATGCCTGCCCCATAGAGGGAAATATTACTCCAAATCATATTTGAAAGAAAACTTTTACAAGGCCTAGATTTTCAACACATCCAGCTGTGTTAGCCAACACAACTAAAAAATAAATAAAAATAACAATAATTTTTTACTTAAAATAGCATTCCAGCTAAGACTATTAAGAAAAAAATAACTGTAGAAGAATATTATTATATCCTAAAAATTAATCCTCTGGAGTATCTTTTCCAAGTCCTGCCTGAACCAGAGTGGGATGGTCAAAGGTCAGGCGTTTTTATTCCACGCGAACTGTAGTTATACAAAGAAGGTTTCACCCAACTTGCTGTGTAAGACCAAGTGACTACAGCCAAGTTAAACTCCTGCCCTTATATGGTAAGGAAAGGGGGAAAAAAACCACTGATGACATTAAGGGGCACTCCCATGGATAACAGATAAACACAGCCTCCTCTATTTGTGCCAAAGCCTGTAATTTATGAGACATGTTTGTATAATGAGGGAGAACGGACATGAACAGGGCATTGTTGGGCCTTGGCCTTGCCTACATATGAAAACAGAAATGGAGAGTATGTATATATTCCAGTTACTGCCACCCTGGGGGTGCCAATGTGAGCACAAAACGCACCCTTCCTTTCCAGGTCTCAGAAATATCTACCAGCTCTAAACAGGGAAAGTGCTAGGAATTTTGTAAATTGGTCATTTCTCATGATTTAATAAAGTTACCAGTTAAGTACCTACAGGCTGCAACTTTTAAGACTTGTTTGCTGGGTATTACCCAGAAGGGATAAAGGATTGTTTTTTGTTTTGTTTTGTTTTGTTTTTTGCTACTTTCTCCTTTAATAATGACAAAAATAACTCCAAAAAAACCTCCAAAACCAAACAAAACCCTCTTGGGTCACAAGGCCTAGAGTCAACCATTACGTCAAGCAAAGTAGTCTCATTCCAAAAATGTGAAGGGCCCACACACCCTGGAAAAGCAAACTAGTAGGAAATAAGGAATGGCTGACTTTTCTAAGGTAAGTGCTGGTATATTTAGGGTCAGTTTACTACTACAGCCTCTCTGAACTTTTGAGAATTCGAATTTAGGGCCAACTCTCCATTCAAATATTTTCTGCAGTGGCTCATGACTTTGTCACTAAACCTTCATCTCTGCTGCCAAGAGAAACTGTGATTATTTGCTTAACTCACAGCTGTGTCTGACAACCACCAAGAAGCCACCTTAAATTAGCTATAATCTTTTAAGTTCCAGCTTCAGAAGCGAGGAACTACTCTCCACCTGAAATTCTCTCAGTGGTCTGACCCAGTCGTCAAGTTGTTTTAAAAAGGTTCTGTGTCCAATCACCCGGATAGGCTTTTCAAAAATTACTTAAAAAAAATTGCAAGTTATTTAAGCTACTTTTAATCTAAAGCTTTGAAAAGAATGAAAGTATCATCTTTAGGCAACTGGCACAGGAAGATCACTGTTACAAAAACCACAAAAGAGAAGGTGAGTATAAATGTAACACCGTGCCCTTCATACAATTTATTTGCTTTATTTAACATCAGTCACTAGGCCAGGACTCATAAAAGGCTCTCCTATACAGGACCACAGATTCCCTTTCTTAGGGTGAGGGGAGTTCTACCGACTTCTACCACTAATACCACTTTGACCCACCAAACATTCCTTCCAATCTGCCCATGTCCTCTCTTCAAGTTCCGAAAAGGATATGAAAAAAAAGAAAGAAAGAAAAAAAATATATATATATAAATAAATAAAATATTTAAATGTTTTAAAATGTAATGTAATGAGGTCATTTTCAAGACCCTTCGATAAGTGCGGAATTGAAGGTGAAGGGGCAATGAGCTATGCCAAGTGCTGTGCAGTTTTACACCAGCTGACACAGAGCCCCTTACTCTGTTGTGTCTACACCACTGTAATTTCTCTATACACACTAACTCCTTTCACCCTCAGCACACACAGGTGCTATTATTATCCACATTTACAATTAGGGAACCTAGAGACTGAGAAGTGAATTTGCCCTAGGTCTCACAGGTAACAAGTAGTGGAAGATTCAAGCCCTGGCAGTCTGGGTCCAGAGTTCTTGGTCTTACCCATCGTGTTCCATAAATTCTAATGATTCAAGGACAACAGCTAGCCAATCAAGAGAGGGAGTCAGAATCAATTTATCGCCCAGCCAAATTCAGAGACATCCATGGGACTGTTGCTGACTTGACTTCTAAAGAAAATGATTATCTTTTGCTTATTGATTTTCTCATTCCCGTATTTTATCTGAAATGTCCTCGTTAGGACTTCCTCTTAAGAGGAGCGATTTGCTTCTAAGTATTTTATGCAAAACAGGTCTTGTAGTGTCTGCAGCCAGGTGTACACTTAACCAATATGATGGAGTCAACTGAGAATAGGCCCATAGTAAGCACAGCTGGACACCATATAATCGCTTGTCATAAAATTCCCAAGGTGTTTGAGTATCCTGATTTATAACACCTCTCTCTCGCTCTCGCTCTCAAAAAACAACAAATAGCAAACGCCTAAATTACCCCTGAAATCCTGTCCCTGTTTGCTGGATACATTTGCCTTAGGAGAAAGGGAGGAAGCCAGGTATTACATTCAACATGAGGGAGGGGGAAGCCGGCAAGAGAATGCACCCAATAATCGTTGACGTTTAGCCAACTTTTTTCAAGACTCGGTAACAAAGGAATATTTAGCTGTATAAGAAAACTTTGGAGGAGGGATGGTTAAGAAAGGGATGATGTTTCAACGGGCCTCAAACTATGTAAGTCAGAACCTGGCGCTGTCAATGTCTCAGCCACCACAGAGGCACAGACGTCCAGAAAACCAAGGGTCAACGGGGTTGGTGTTTAGTTCGCACCCCTGGGTCCCCACGTCGGGCACAGTGTCCCAGACTTGACCTGTCGGCGCCCCTTACCAAAGGAACGGATTTCCGAAAGGATTTCCCTCTTCCCTCTCCACCCTCCGAGTAAATAATGCCAGCGGCGCGAAGTGCACATCCCGGAGGACCTGAGACACCCGGGCCGAACGCAAACGCTCCAGAAATGGAGCTCCGTCTGGGAAAGGGCTGCTTCCAGAACCTTCTCCACACCACTCCTGCTTCCCCTCGGAGCTTTTACTTTAGCCAGGGAGACGAGAAGGGCAAAGAACGGGCAGGGCCCCTCCCCAGAGCCCGACGCCGCCTGCCCAGGTGCGCCAGGTGCGCCGCGGAGCGTGGGGGCAGGGGAGGTGGGCTCCCGAGGGCCCTGCGGCGCGCGGCTGGGCCCACTGGGGAGGAGGCGCCTGCGGGCGGGGGGTGGGCGAGGGGTGGGTTCCTTACGGTCTCCCTCAGCTTCCTCTCGTAGTCCAGCTCGCGCTGCAGGCTGCCCGCGCGCTCCTCCGCGGCGTCCGCCTGCTCCTGCAGGCTCCGGATTTTCCTCCGCACCGCCTCCAGCGAGCTGCTCCCCGCCATTGTGCGGGGTGGCGGCGGGCGGGCTGCGGTGGGAGAGGCCGGCTGCTGCGCTCAGGCTGCCGCTGCAGCTCCCCGGAACGCCCGGCCGCCCCGCCCAGGTCTCGCCGCCAGACGGCGGCGCCCCCTGCGGCCCAGGACCTGCCCGGAAGTCGTGGTCTCCCAGGCAGCGCAGGCAAACCGCAGGCGGGTGCGCGAGTGCGGGGGGCGGGCACAACGCCGGGGCGGGGCGCGCGCCGCCGACCCCGGGAATTTGCAAACCGCGGGAGGCGCTGCGCATGCCCTCTGCAGCGGGGCTGGCCGGCGTTGGGGGCGCGCTGCGGGGCACATGGCCGGCTGAGCCCTGCAGGAAGGGAGGCCATTGCGCGAGGGATTTCCCTTCCACTCCCAGCGCCCCTCCCCGACTCAGAGTTGTCCCGGAGTAACGGGCCTGGCTACTAAGGGCGATGGTGCCGCCTACTGGCGGCGGGAGTGCTCCGTTCCCGAGTACCGGATTCCCAGGCCCAGGAGGGAGAGAAACGGAGCGAGGTGTTTGGGGCATCAGTGTGCCCCCACAGGGACTGTTGCTCGTTGTAAAGAACCCCAGAACACAAGGATCTAACCACAACAGCCTTCCGCCCCCCTCCGAAACTCACGAAGTGAAAAACTACTAACATATAACAGTGGTTAAACCTCCTATTCTACAAGTCAGTCTTCCTAGATTAGAGTCTGGATCCTAGTTCTTTCCTGGCTGTGTGACTTTGGACAAATGATTTCTCTGGGCTTGATCTGTAAAAGTGGGTTTAATAGTACTTTTCTCATTGGGTTGATGTGAGGATTATGAAATAATATAAAGCACTTAGCACAATACCTTGTATATACACAGTTAAGAACTCAAATGATAGCTTTAGTTAATAAACACACACACTGTCTTAACAATCAGGCCCATAACCAGCTGTTTGATCTCAGGCCCACCAGCCTCCCTGGGGCTCACTTTCAATAAATACAATCATCTCAAGGGTCCCTTCTGGTTACAACCTTCTCTGGTTTTAGGCCAGCCTCTGAGCTCTTCTGGAATCTGATCAATTTTGGGCTGGACTTTAAAAGGCACACCAAGGAAGGCTACAGAACATGAGAGCCTCTGGCTACAGCTGAACCAAAACCAACGCGGACACAATCTCTGGGAACGGTCCTCACCTCTTGGGGGTGCGTTTTTAAATGCCTGCTAAGTCTCATGCCTTTCTTTCCTCACCTTTCTCACAGGAGCCCTTTAAATCAGTTCCTGATGTGTTTAAGTGTGGGAATAATGAAGACAAAGAAAAAGGATTTGACAACCCTCTCCTCCTTCAGAGTCCTAACAACGAACCTCTTTTGCTTTCCTGACTCATTTTCTAAGGGCTTTCTCAAAGCCTCTGCTGATTCTTTCCGAAACCCCAGCATGGGCCCTCATCATCCTGTAGGTGGAGCCTCTCGCTTTGTTTTCACACAGTTCATCGGGTGAGGCAGGAGGTTACAACTCCACCCCTAAAGGAGTACAGACCTTGGGCCTCCTACTTTGAGGGTGAGGGTAGGGGACACATAGGAGCCTCCAGGAGGAGCCAGGGAAATTGCTGGACATTTGCAAGTGCTCTAAGCAGCCAACTAGTGACTTAATGTCCTATTTTTCAAACACCTGGGAAAGTCAGTTTCAGGTGAGTTCATTTTCATGCTGATGCCATTATAGAAGATTTTAGGACAGTTCTCAGCCTTGGCTGCATAATGGAATCACCTGGGTATTTAAAAAATAATGCCTGGGTTCCACTTCCAGAGATTCTTAATTAATTGGCCTGCAATGCAGCCTGGATTTGGGGTTTTTAAACCTCCTTAGGAGATGCTGTTTAGATAAGGTTGAGAATCACTGATTTAGGAAGCAAAACCTACAGAGAATAAAAACTTCAGTACTACAAATGTCAGGTACATACAGTTATTGGGGAAGGGGTCGGGAACCAGAGAGAAAATGGAGCCCTCCATCCCCTTCAGCCTCACGTAGGGTAGAATGATAACAAAAAATTCAAAACCAAACCAAACCATCAGGGATTGCTACCTCCTGAATTACAACCTTTTAAGCTAGGAAGAGCCCACTTCTAGAACAGGACTTGTAAAGTATGTTGGTAAATTAGAAAAACGTTTTTAGTCGTAGCAGAAGACAAAAAAATGTAAAAATGTTTCACAGTGGTGAGTAATGACAGTGAAATGTCCTAATCACAAATGTAATATGAAACTACTTCAGGAAGCTGACTTCTATCCTATCTCCCCCTTTCTTTAGTGACATCTGTCTCTTCCTATTCAAGTACACTATTTTTACAACTTAGGAATCACTCTAAATATAGCATTTTTTCACAAACTTCCACAACATCCCTACAGGTTGCAAACAAGCTAAAATGTCTTAAAGGGGAAGATGAACAATATATACTACCCTCAAATGTACCATATTAGAGACAGTTTTCCAGTGGGGGAAAAAAAAAAAAAGAATCAAAACACGTTTCAGAATTCTCCCTCCCCTGCTGGCCCTGCCCTTGCCACCCCAAGCTGGCTTTAAATATCCTCTTTTCCACTTCTGCCCCACCTCATTCCAAGGCTCCCTTAAACAAAACTTTTCAATAAAAACCTGTAGCACTACATGGTCACAATAATTATGATCTTTTTTCCTTAAGAATTGTAGTAACTTTTTTCTCCTTCTCTTGCCTTCAGCCTCACTGGGCTATTTTCAAATTCTCTGCATTCTTTTCCTTATAAGGAATATCTCTCCTTGATCTATCAGCGGCTCTTTTGAAAAAGCTAAATAAACGTCCTGCTGGAGAATTTGGGGGAGACAGACATCCTCCATTTAGCCATATACGGAGCAGACATCTGATCTACATTATACAAAGTAGGCAGAGTTATATGTGTTCTTTGGCACTTTTTCTAAAGCCAGGTAGTTTGTAACTTAAATATTTTAGCTAAATCAGTGCTTCTCTGAACCCCCTTTCCAGGAATCTTGATTTTCACTTAAATTTTTTTTGTCAGATTCTAAATGTCCTATGTCTGGATTTCTCATTTACAGCATTTCAAGCCTTTCATACCACAAAAAGCCTTTACTGATTCAAGACCCAAGATCCTCCAGCAATTTGCATTTTACCCTCAGACAAAAAATTCTGCCATATTGGTAGTTCAGCTTTTGGGCATAGCTTTTCTTGGTGCTCATACATTCTTGGAATTGTTCCCAAATTCCGAAGGAATTCTTTCCTAATTGGGTCTCTAGGCTTAATTAGCTTCTGGAATGCAATCCAATGGTGTGAAAAGAAGTCCTTTGGAAATCTAATGCTTGTCTTTACGTTTGCAGAGGAAGATGCAAGCTCTTCAGCTAAAAAGATTCCTCCACAGGGAAGTGGTCAGAGTGCTGGTAGAGCTTTTGCCTGTGTGCATCACCCCTGAAACTATGTGCTGGTTGGCTGAAGGCTGACAGGTGGGGGTGGGGTGAGCAGGAGGGGCAGGGGGCAGCTAGCTCACTATACCATATAAAGCACTGAGCTATATATAACTCACAGCTTACTTTCTGGATCTAGTGCCCTCAGACTGCAGACCCAAGCAAGTATCATCTTCCCAGGCAGATCTTAAGGGCTGGATTAAGGCTTCCCTAGTGAGAAAGCAGGCCTCAAGTGTCTCCGCACCCACTGTCAGCTCAGCCTTCTAAGTAGCTCCCTGCCATTCGTTCAATCTAGAGGCCAGGCCCTCTATATCCTAACTAGACCTACAGTCGAAAAACAGGCCTTCCCACCCACCAGAGATGGGGGGGGGGGAGGAAAGAAAGTGAAAAAACTAGGCATTGTGCTTGTACAAACCTTGGTGATGACACCTCAGAGGTTTTCTGCCACCAGGGAGACACCAACATCCAATTTCAGCTGCTCTATTCTCCCAGCTTCTCACCCACCCACTTCCACCCCCATGAGTGGGGGCAAAGAAGGAGAAAAAGAGAGAGAGGAGTGGATGAAATATAAATGAACGTGTGCAGTAGCAGTCTGAGGCAGCATCCAGTGCTCTGGGCCATGGCGGAGCTATGCGCAGGTGTCTGGCAGGAGGAGGTGACCCTCCTCCATTGCTCTGGCCCCTGTGGTGACCGCAGAGTGGCCACGCGGGCAGGAGGTGAGGGAGGCACTGTGTGCGTGAACTTACGTCGGTGGCCTTTTTCTCTGCCAGCTCCAGCTTCTCCTGGGCATCTTTGAGAGCCTCGGAGTATTTGTCCAGTTCATCTTCAGTGCCCTTGAGTTTCTTTTGCAGCGCCAACAGCTCATCTTCCAGCTGGGAGTTGGCCGTGGGGGACGGGGAGTGGGGTG